CTCCGGCTCCAGATCCAGCTCCAGATGTGGTGTCCATCTTCAGTGACGTACCCGACGTCTATGGAATATTTACTCTACTGCCTAATGCTTCACGTATCCGCTGCAATTTATAGGTCCGTTTAGGTTATAAAATCAAAACAGCTCACGAACCGAAACCACATACATACGAACAAGTATTCCGATTTTGTTGGCGTTGCACTGCCACAGCCCAAGCCAAGAAACAGCTTCCGTGCTACGCACACACAAGGTTACGTGTGCGAGACTCGGTTCCTTGGTTGGAAATGCTCTTTTCTACCAGTTTCTCCTCTTTATTTGTGGCAGATGCAGTCAATATACCTGTAGCCAGGTGGGCTGATGGCTTTTCTTAACATTTTTTACGACCACAATATGTTTTTTAGACACTTGTTGCTCACTCGCCACTACCATGCCAATGTTTGTATTAGTTTCACTTCACTCTCTCGACGCTGCTTTTGCTCGTCTTTCACTACGGTTTGCGACGCACACAGCCAGCTCCTCTTGTTTATGAAATTTGCACCACTTTTATTTTGTTTCCTATATTTTTGTTGAAAAAACAACTACCCTACCTCTCTTTCCGACACAAGTAGCCCGTCGCCATCTTTAGGCAGTGCATATTTTTTTTCGTAAAACAATTTTTGTTACTCGTTACTGGTTATTTGCTGCTAATGGGAGGCAAAAGAGGGTATGGACATCACGCTAAACGGCCCAGAAAGTGCAACGCATGCAGGGTAAATTCCACCCCATTTGCTTGATATACCTTGAAGACAAAACGTCGATTTTGTCACCATACGTAAGGTGAGGTGAGGTTCGTGGGAATCTTGCAATTTGCCTTGGCTGTTTTGCCTGTTTTCCATACCCCTTTTTATAGCCCATTCAAAATTACGACTCAATTTTTCGTTGCAGAGCGCAACGTGTGAGCGTAGTGTGTGACCGTATAAAAGAATTCCCATTCAATGAAATACCAAAGTCTGAAATCGATAAAGGTTTTTCTCAGCTGATTTTAGATGGATACACAAATTCGAAAATTCAAAAAAAGGATACTTAACGGTACAACAAAGGGCTCCGCTCCAACGTGGAAAACCAAGTCATCCTATTTTTGCATGGTTCATTTCGTCTTTCGGGAGAAGAACGCTCAGCCGCCTATAATCTGCCACAAAGCCATAGGTTTTTCACACCCAATCGTCTTTCCCAGAAGAATGACTTTTTCCCAGATTTAAACAAAGTTCATTGACAAACATTTCATCAGTGCTATAATACCCTCTTTTCCCGAGGGTATTGCATTCACCCACGAAGAGTGCTATCGATACTATCCATTCGATAATTGGCAATTGATAGTTGAGACACTTGGCAGCACTAGTTTCACAGTGGTCCCACCCTGTCAGAAAAACCACCACGTGGCAACTCTGAGTCTTGTTTTTCATTTGACATTGGAGAAATTTTGTAAAATTTTGCCGACAGCGAAAATTTTTGGAAAAAAAATAAAAAATCAGCTGTTTTTTACAAAATAAAATAAAATATCTATAACGGCGAAGCTGTGGGCCTGTTTTCCGGAATTATTCCGGATTTATAAAAAAAATAACCTGTGTCAAGTGGCCGTATTTAAGTGAAGTTTCGCGATTTTCTCGTGTTTTTTGCGACTTTAAGTTTTTAACAAAAAAAACCTCCCAACCTCCCCCCAAGAAAAATGGCCGGAACCCCCCTGCCCCCTCTAAACGAGGAGCCCGCTTTCAAAAAACTCCAGGACTACTACGACGCCAATCACAATAAAATTGTTATTAAAGATTTATTTGTTAACGATCCGAAGCGATTTTCAAAGTTCAGGTGAGTTAATTTGCATTTAAAATGACTATTTTATCAATTAAAAATCAATTAAAATGATTGGTTTGATTAAGAATTAAGTATACCAAAAAGTTTGGCATACAATACATAAATTTACGAGTGGGGGTATGTATATATATTTGAACGTACTTTTACTTTCTTATCAAATGCAAGGTTTCAAGTTTGCCCCCCCTTCCATCCACCACCTCCCACCCCCAACTCCCCACCCGTTTGTCCCCTTTCTTTGATTTTTATACCCTATACTCAAAATGAGTATTTGGGTATATTCATTTTGTGGTGAAAATGGACCCTATAATATATATTCTTGATCAGCATCAATAGCCGAGTCGATTGAGCCCTTTCTGTCTGTCCGTCTCTCCGTCTGTCCGTCTGTCCGTCCGTCAGTCTGTCCGTCCCCTTCAGCGCCTAGTTCTCAAAGACTATAAGAGCTAGAGCAACGATCCAGCAACGATTTTGGATCCAGACTTCTGTGATATGTCACTGCTACAAGAATATTTCAAAACTTCGTCCCGCCCACTTCCGCCCCCACAAAGAGCGAAAATCTGTGGCATCCACAATTTCGACGATACGAGAAAACTAAAACGCAGAATCATAGAAGATGACTATATCTTCTAGAGTGCAAAATCTGAACCAGATCGTATAATTATCATAGCCAGAATCAAGAAAACAATTTCATTCTTTCTCGCTCTGTCTCTCTCTAACACAGGTTTCATGGTCGGTTTGCAAAATGTGAGTTCCTAGATCTCAGAGACTATAAAACCTAGAGCAACCAAATTTGGTATCCGCACTTCTGTTAGATCTCACTATAAAACGTATATCTCAAAATTTGGCCCCACTCCTTTCCGCCCCCACAAATAACGAAAATCTGTGGCATACACAATATTGCACATTCGAGAAAACTAAGAACGCAGAATCATAGATAACGACCATATCTATCAGATTGCTGAATCTGGATCAAATCGGTTGCGGTCTCCGCAGCAACTCACAACGTTCCCCCTCGTTTAAGTTTTTTAATTGGGGTAATGGGATCATATTGTCTTGCACGCAGCGTCACAGCCTTAATGGTAGATTTTCCATTTTAACTTTTATGTTTTCATTTCAGCCTACGCTTGCGTACCCCAAACGATGGTGAAATACTTCTGGACTACTCCAAGAATCGCGTCAACGATGATGTCTGGAACTTGCTCATCGATCTGGCCAAGTCGCGGAGAGTGGAGCCAGCCCGCGATGCCATGTTCAGCGGCCAGCACATAAATATTACCGAGAATCGTGCCGTCCTGCATACGGCGTTGCGGAACCGGAGTGCGGACGCCGTCCTGGTGGATAACAAGGATGTGATGCCAGATGTGCGGGCCGAGCTCCAACACATGAAGGAGTTCACCAACAAGGTAATCTCTGGAGTGTGGCGTGGAAGCACTGGAAAACAGATCACCGACGTGGTCAATATCGGAATCGGTGGCTCCGATCTGGGACCCTTGATGGTTACCGAAGCTCTGAAACCCTACGGCAAGGGCTTGTACTCCCATTTCGTGTCCAACATCGACGGCACCCATATGGCGGAGGTTCTGAAGAAAGTCAACTACGAGACTACATTGTTCATTATAGCGTCGAAGACGTTCACCACTCAGGAGACCATCACCAATGCGACTTCGGCCAAGACCTGGCTGTTGGAGCATGCCAAGGATGTAGGTGGATTGCCAGGTGCTGGTGTATGAATTTACTATTGATTTTCCCCATTCTCCCCATCTAGGCGGATGCCGTGGCCAAGCATTTTGTGGCTCTGTCGACCAACAAGGAGAAGGTGACTGCCTTCGGTATCGATAGCGCCAACATGTTCGGCTTCTGGGATTGGGTGGGAGGACGCTACTCGCTCTGGTCGGCTATTGGGCTGTCCATTTGCTTGTCCATTGGGTTCGAGAACTTCGAACAGCTTTTGGATGGTGCCCATTACATGGATAATCACTTCAAGACATCGCCGCTGGACAAAAATGTAAGTCGAGATTAATATTTGTGGGCAGCTCCTACCATGTTTAAATATTTGGTTTTTTGGCTATCAGGCACCTGTCATTCTGGCTCTGCTGGGCGTCTGGTATTCGAACTTCTACAATGCTGAAACACACGCTCTTCTGCCATACGATCAGTACTTGCACCGCTTCGCTGCCTATTTCCAGCAGGGCGACATGGAGAGTAACGGAAAGTTCGTTAGCAAGTCGGGCAAGCCAGTTAAATATAGCACCGGTCCGATTGTGTGGGGTGAGCCAGGCACCAATGGCCAACACGCCTTTTACCAGCTTATCCATCAGGGCACTCGCCTGATCCCATGCGATTTTATTGCCCCCGCCCAGACACACAATCCCATTGCCGGCGGCAAGCACCACAAGATTCTACTCTCAAATTTCCTGGCCCAAACGGAGGCTCTAATGGCCGGCAAAACGTCCGACGAGGCCAAGCAGGAGCTTACCAAGGCCGGATTGTGCGGCAACGAGCTGGAAAACCTGCTGCCGCACAAAGTGTTCGCTGGCAATCGGCCGACGAACTCAATTGTGGTGAAGAAAGTGTCGCCATTTACACTGGGCGCATTGATTGGTAAGTTTGGCCGAATTGAATTTCACAAGACACTTCAATTAATTATTGATTTCATTCAACTTTCAGCCCTCTACGAGCACAAGATCTTCGTGCAAGGCATCATTTGGGACATCAACTCGTTCGATCAGTGGGGCGTTGAGTTGGGGAAGCAACTGGCCAAGGCCATCGAGCCGGAGCTCGACACTTGTGTCGAGGTCTCTTCTCACGACAGTTCCACGAACGGTCTAATTAATTTCCTTAAGGCAAACTGGAAGTAGATTTGTTCGACCATTTGTTGACAATTAAAATGAGATGAAAATGTTCGCGCGAACACACACAAAAACACCTATTAGTAGTTCCTGTGCTGTTATTGGATGAGCTTCTACTTATGTATACTCAAATTACCTATAGAAATGAAACCAAACCCCTGTTCTTGGCACAATATTCTACCATATTCATAGATTGGAAATGGAAATGAAATGTTTACGTTTGCTTGCTAATGTCGGAAATTAAAAAAATAATTGGCTCCTATTCGTTGTTGCACGTAGTTAATAAACACAAATAAAAATTGCATGAAATTCAGTGTGGAAAACTGCACTAGTTTAATTGGCCGGGGGATAGGACAATAAAGAAATTGCAATGGTACCTAACCTAACGTATAGAGGAACAAACTAATCCGCTGATTCATGGGAGTCAGTCGCTTAATCGCTCAAATCATCATCGTCATCGTCCGAGCCTTGAGTCATTGCCAGATCGTCCTCATCGGCCGCCACATCATCGTCTGCTGCCAGGTCTTCGTCTGCAATACTGTTTAAGCTGATGTTCTGGTCTTCCAGATCGCTCCAGTTGCTATCACCCTTTGCGCTATCACTCTGCGTATCGGCGGGCTCATCTGAAGCACAAAAAAATTGATTAGTGGGACTATGGTAAAGCATAATTTCACAATACCCACCTTCCTCTTCTTCTTCCACAATTAAAACATTGCTTTCGTTCAAATGGTTATCTGCATTTCGCTTCATTTGACTGATGATCAGGTTGACGCGTCCAGATATTCTAAGAGTAGACATTACAAATCTGACTTTAAACAGTATATATATACAAAATATATTTAACTTAAATAAAAAAACACCAAATTAGCTTAAATGGAAAACCTCGTCTCGGACTCGGATCTAAATGAGCGAAAATTTTCGCAAGTCTCCATTCTGATGAATTCGCGACGATTAAACAGGACTTCGGACAATGAGCATGACGGTTTGAATGCGCTCGTCTCCCCCATGGGTAATATCGCAAGCATCGCCGATGCAGTGGCCCATTGCAACAAGCCAGTTTGTGATGACGCCGACATGCAGTGCGTCATGGACTTGGTCGATTCTACCATTTGCGAAGCCCTGACCATAGTTCAGTCCGATCCACGGGGACTGTTTTGCTACAAGCTTCCAGAAAAACCGAAGCCCGTGGTCAGTGTGCCTACTCTGGTCGATTTTACAGTGACGACAATTGCCGACGAGGAGCATGAAACCACTGCTGTTGCTACAAAAATTGCAGTTGGTGAATATGGTCCGAGCTCGGGCTCCAGCGGATTGCTTCGCAAACCGACGACCATTGGGTCATTCGAGTACAGCACTGTACTTTCCGAGATCCAGGACTTTATTGGCCTGTGGCAGCTATCGCCAGACACAAAGTGTGCGGTTCTGAGCAACCCCATTCAACACGATATTCCCATCAAGGGAAAGATCTACTTTGCCGATGCACATTTCTCACGGCCCACGCCCCGCTGTCCTAACCCACTGGCAGTGGCAAAGGTGCGATTCATCATAACCGTTTCAAAGCTGGTGCCGAAGCACTATCCAGTAATGATCACATACCGCTTTGAGGGCTACAACACTCTGTACTATGCGGTGGGCGAGCGTTCGCAGAGCTCGTTTTCTTTTCAAAGATTCTACATTGATACCATACTGCACACCAAGCTGGCCTTCTACGCTGAGATCTGCGAATGCCGCCACGGCACTGTGGAGAAGCCGAAGAAATCCACGAAGACCAAGAAGGGCAAGCCCTAATGCGAATTGAATGCCAATAAAACTGTTTCGATTTACCAAACACTTACTGTAGTGCCTCCGAAAGACAATGCATGCGCTGCTCCGCAACACCAAGGCAAATTCCCAACTTTTCGCGCAATGCCTGTTTGTCTTCAGACATCAAGGCACTCGTGTGCGTGCAGGCCAGTACTTGCAGCCAGCGTATGGCTGATGTAACACTGTAATTTAAGGAGCCACTTAAGTAAATCCGCCATTGTACACTCAACGAAATATGCGCTTACTTGGCATGCTTTCCTTGTATAAGTATTGAGAGTTCATTCACCAATGGGTTGACATATTCGAGCGGCAGGCGGTCCAAAGTCAACTGTATCGTCTCCGTGTCATGGGTACTGAGGACTGCGTCAATCATGCTAAAATAGAAGACTGTTGAGTGGGCTCTTCAGCATACAATTTATATCAGCAACATACGCCTGATCTTTGCTGTGCAGTGCCTGCATCAGAAGCTGTGTCTTGCTTTGTGTTTGCAGCTTTCCAGCACCCTGTTTGGTGGCCTTGATTTGCAGGTGCTGCAGGCGCGCCTCCATTGGAACGTCGTTTTGTACTTTCTTCTGGGAAATCGGCAGAGCACTATTGTACTCCACAATCTTCTGACTCACTACAGGAGTGAGAGTTTTGTGGGCGGCCTGCAAGGCCTGCTCTTTGCCCTTTTTCTTAGCATACAGCTTCTTCGGGTCGGCGCGAACGATAACATTCAATTTCTCAGCATAGTTAGGGGTAATGCGTTCGAATTGTATTTGTTTGCGATTTCCGTAACCGAAAAGAATCTCGTGCGAACGATTTATGTCAGTTACAAAGTGAGACGCCAGAGCATGAATGGGCTCGACCGTATCGGCGCCATCCGAAACGATTTGCAGGGAGGTTTTCGGCTTAACGAACTTTTCGGCTGATAGACTACGGATAGTATAAGCATGATTATGTATTATTTGTTTAAATCTCAATGGTGTACCTGTTCACATTCAACAGGTATATGTGTATGATGCCGTTGCGCGTCACACTCGCCACCCGCAGCTGTCCGTCGTCGTGAACTTCGCTGGACAAACAGTACGCCAGATCCTCCATGAGCAGCGTACAGGAAGAGGCCTTGTTTTTGCCCTTCTTCTCAATCTTCCAGAAGCAAATGACTCTCTCCATACGAGCTGTAGTCAGAACGAATTCATCATTGTCAGTGCACATAACGCTGCTGATGGCATTAACCTCGCCAGAGTGCCCGGTAAATGTTTCCACCAACTCTTTAGTATCAACATCATAGACCTTCAACTGGCGCGAGCCAACTGCCAAGGTCCGGCTCTTTGGGAGATATACAATATTTCGCGGCTTTTCGGGCCCAACCTGCCAGTCACTGATGCAGCGTTCTTTTTCCAAAGACCAGACAAGTGCCCGGCAATCGGCTCCCACGGTATACAAAAGCCCAGCATTGTCGTAAGCTATCGAGGTGACTGGACCATCGTGACTGTCGCCACTCAGAGTACGTTCAATCTGCAATGGTACGAGAACATTACTGGGGATTGTGGTTCCATGAACTAATCAATTCTTACCTTTCCCTCGGCCAATGAATATATAACAACGCCGCCTTTCAGCGTGCCCAAAGCAATGTAGAGTTGGTCGCTGGGCTCCTCTTGGGTTGGCAGACTCTTGCGAGCCCTCTTGGGCCGCTGCGCTGCCACCAAAACCCACGTGAGCGCTGTGCAGGGGCCAGATAGCTGCAGGTTCGGGGTGAACTCCTGTTTCAGCGTGTTCGTTTCTGTGTTCCATACTCGCAGTATTCCCAGCTCGTCAACAGAAGCAAACAGTTGACCACCATTGGGCGAAAACCCCAACACGTGCTTCTTGCCTTGCGACATTGTTATTTTACAAATTTACGTATTTGCGGCAATGGGGCTTCTATCGATTCCTATCGATAAGAAATTTGAATATATCGGTCACCAAATGGCACCGATTTTTTATTTGAAAATACCCCAGAGACGGGTATGAAAAACTTTGCCAACAGTAAACTATTTTTAGATTTAAATAGTCTAGATATAATCTAAGTCTGTTTTAGGAATCCGCAGAGGGTATTTTAAACTAAAATATATGTAAAGCAAATAAGTGGCAGTTCCATAAAAAGATCCGATACATTCCGATGGAATAGTTATTAGTCTCATCGCTAGCACCTCAATACAATAGGTCCAGAATGTTCCCCGCCGTCAAATTTATTTGAGGTTAGACAAACTTTTGCTGGAACTTACCGACCGACTAGCTGTGTATTGAAATCTGTGTACAAAAATGGCTTTATCTGTACCAAAAGCACCCGGAGTGTCGCAGATGCTAAAGGATGGCGCACGGGTAAGTGCAATATAAAGAATATATAAGAAATGGCCCATATAAAACCCGATTTCATTGAAATTCTGTGTAAAATAAAAACATGCCGTCTCGGGAGGCGCGTGATTAGTCATCGCCATGACAAATGTCATGCATTTTCTTGAAAAATGTTCGAAACCATAATTGTCTCATATCCTCAGATGTATAGCGGCTTGGAGGAAGCCGTCTACCGTAACATCAGTGCCTGCAAGGAGTTTGCTCAGACAATGCGTTCCGCCTACGGCCCCAATGGAATGAACAAAATGATCATCAACCACATTGAGAAGCAGTTTGTGACAAGCGATGCCGGAACCATAATGCGCGAGCTGGATGTTGAGCACCCTGCCGCTAAGCTGATTGTTATGGCTAGTCAAATGCAGGACGCCGAGGTCGGAGATGGCACAAACTTCGTTGTGGTTCTGGCCGGCGCTCTGCTCGAGTCTGCAGAGGAGCTCCTGCGCTTGGGCATCACCACCGCCGAAATAGCCGATGGCTATGAAAAGGCACTGGAAAAGGCTCTTGAAATCTTGCCCAAATTGGTTTGCCATAAAATTGAGGACTATCGTAATGTTGAAAAGGTAAAGGATGTCCTTCGCACAACCATCATGTCGAAACAGTACGGCCAGGAGGACTTCCTCAATGACCTGGTGAGCAAGGCCTGTGTCTCCATATTGCCTGATGAGGGCACATTCAACGTGGACAACATTCGTATATGCAAGATCCTCGGTAGCGGTCTGCCCAAGTCGGAGGTAGTCCGCGGTATGGTCTTCAAGCGCTTCGTGGAGGGCGATGTCACCTTTGCCGAAAAGGCCAAGATCGCCATATTCTCGTGCCCCGTCGACATTATTCAGACAGAGACCAAGGGCACAGTATTAATTAAGTCGGCGGACGAACTCATGAAGTTCTCATCTGGAGAGGAGAGTCTGCTGGAGAATCAAATCAAGGCCATTGCCGATGCCGGTGTAAAGGTTATCGTTGCCGGTGGTAAAGTCGGTGACATGGCCTTGCATTTCCTCAACAAATATGGCCTCATGGCTGTGCGTTTGAACTCCAAGTTCGACTTGCGCCGTTTGAGTCGTTCTGTGAACGCCACAGTTCTACCTCGCATTACCACACCTAGCCAGGAAGAGTTGGGCTACTGTGACAAGGTGTGCATTGAGGAGTTGGGCGACACGACAATCGTAGCATTCAGGTGAGTAATGCCATTAAATAATGTCATGAAACAGTCCAAATAACAGCTTGTTTTTTTTAGAAACGAGGGCAAAGACTCGCGGATTGCCACAGTTGTGATCCGTGGTGCCACAGACAACTTCATGGACGACATCGAGCGCGCCCTGGACGACGCCGTGAACAGCTTCAAGTGCCTGACACGCGATGGACGCTATCTGCCAGGAGCCGGGGCCACCGAAATTGAGCTGGCCACCCAGCTGTCGGCGTATGCTGACACTTTGCCAGGCCTGGAGCAGTACTCTGTGCGCAAGTTTGCCCAGGCTCTCGAAGTGTTCCCCAAGGCTCTGGCCGAAAACTCTGGATTCAATGGCACCGAAGCCGTCAACCTATTGTATTTGGCTCACAATTCCGAGAGCGGCAAGAACATCGGTTTCGACATTGAAGCAGAGACGGCGAGCACAATAGATGCGGCGAAGGCAAAGATCTTCGACCTGTATCAGGGAAAGTTCTGGGGTCTCAAGTACGCTGTTGGTGCGGCCACAACCATCTTGAAGGTGGATCAGATTATCATGGCCAAGCGTGCCGGAGGTCCCAAGCCGCGTCAGGCTGCCGGCAGTGATGATGAGAGCTAAACATCTCGCCTAACATCTAACATACTACCCCTAGTTTCTCCAGCTCCTGCAAAAATTGCTTCACACAAGAGGCCCCATGGAAATTATAAATTTCATTAACATCTCTCACACACTCTCACACTTGCACTCATGCCTACATGCACACAGTTTCTTGTATTAATAAACGTAACTTACGAAAACTGAGTTAGGTCTTTCATTTTTGAGGAAATAAAACAATGTTTGGATGTGTTTTCGCACCGAACCTGGTGCCTCCGCTAGGATAACTCATCTAAGGTAGTTATCGCATTTTTATTTTTGGAATATAAGCAAACGATTATTTGTTTTGTTCATTTGAGTTGAGTACAATAGATATTTCAAATGCTTATTTGCAGATACATTTCAATAATATTTGTGTGGACTCGGCAAACGTCTCCCAGTGCGGAGACAGTGCCGTCCCTAAATATTTCTATTAGTTTTCGAATAAAATACGATCTCGTTGTCGCTTTTCAATTGAAGTGAATAAAACTTGTTAAAGTGTGATATCTGATCGATGTACATGATTTTGAGTAAGATGCGTGTGCTGGTGATTGGTTATTTTTGGTTACCTTTTAGTATTAATAGTGGTAATAATTGGACGGGGGGTCGCGCTTAGCGAACGGGAACGAGTCCATCCGTGCTCCAATGGATGGTTCGTTCGCCCATCCGCCGCAGCAAATCCCCTGGCTGGCCCAAACAAATGAAAGAATATCTCAACCAATGAATAACTGAATGCCATTGTCTGGCAAATCGAAAATTGTTCTGCTAAATGTCGGAAAGTATGTGTAGGCAGGCTCCTAAACCAACTGCAGTTTTGATCTGAAGGCCCCTAACTCAAAATTCTTAAAGTCCATCCGAATGTTCATTTTGTGCCACATTTTGCTGTTTGCTCACGACAGCAAACTGTGGTTCAAAATCTCAGACAAAGTTCTTAAAACAAACGCATCTTCAAAAATGTGTGATTCTTAAATTAATTTTGTTCTACGATTTTTCTTTATCAACTAAAGGTACCGCCAATTAATAACTATTTAAATGCAACACTGGAAGAACCGATCGATTAAATTATATATCTATTTGCATCATTTTCATCATTACAACATGTCTTCTCTGGCCGGAGGCTGACAGCTTGTCACGATGAAAATCAACATATGCTGTATTTTTCTTATTTAACATGTACGAGTATGGTATGGTATGGTATGGTATGTATGATAAGCGTGCCTTCCTTAACTGAAATCTCATTACTGTTCATTCCAATACCATACAAATATGCCCATGCCACGTTAGAGTGTATAAAAATAACTTTTCTCCCGTTATTACTTTGCGTATCATGCTAATTACATTTTAATAGATTGCCTCTAAATCCTTTATATTATCATGACTATGAATGGATGGAGATTGTGTAGGAAAATAATAGTGGTATCATAAATTTGGGATGTTTTCCCAGGGGGTTGGAAAAAAATCACACATTTTTGTCAATTGAAATTTTTGGTAAGCTTAAAAATGCAGAAAATTTTCGGATTTTGCCTGGTTTAACTGAAATTAATTATTGTTCTAAAATGCAAATACAAATTTTTCATTTTCATTGGATATTTTCATATTGGCATATTGTGTGAATCAAAATTGATAAACTACGCTAGAGAAAGAGTTAAATATTTGGATTTGTTCAATTTTTGGGTATTATTATATGCTTGCTGCGCTACTACAGCGGTTCGTAATATATTTTGACTAAGAAAAACTTGATAATGAACGCACTAAAGTTTGCGATAAGTTCAACTAGCTTGTGGGTTGTTGCATTTCTGCTCATTTTAAAGCTTTTAAAGTAATTCGATAATATATTTGCGTATATGTATTTGGTTTTTGTTGGTAGTTTCCATTACCCACCCATTGCAATTGGTGGTTAACGAGCTTCGTGGCTCTGCTTCAAAATAGAAGGATATTCTCCGTTTCTCAATCCGATTTTCTTCACATTATTGTTTAGGTTGTCTTCTCTTTTATCAATATTCAATAAATATAACAGATGTTTCTCGAAATAAGAAGCCAAAATATATGTATCTTCTGTTGGGTTTACGTTTATTGATAAATTTGTATGTCGGATCGATAATAGTTGATAATAGGGTATATAGTATATGTGTGAGTTTCGGTTTATACTTGTAGTTTAGGTAGTTGTAGTAGTAGTTGTTGTAGATGCTATAGTCAGCGCATTGATTTTCGTGTTAGTTGGGATACTCGCGTACCTGAACAGCTTTACTATTCGGATAGAGACAACTCTGATATATCTTTGGGACAAATGCTTCGATTATGAATTTTGAATCTTTCTGTGGGCTTTGTATAACCTAATACAACTGTTAACGTGAGTGGTACATATTGATATATCTTTATATATTCTAGCATATATTGCTTGAGACAATTTGTTTGTTGTTATTATAGCTTTTGCACAAAGAGTTATATTGAGATATATTGATCCAGGTGGCGTTGACTGGTACTGGTGTCATTATTAGACATATACATATTTAGAATCCATCTTGCTAAACTAAAAATAAACTATACGATCTGCACATTGATGCAGAAGTCAACTGCTCCGTCCGCAGTCCGCCTTCTATCGCCAACTCCAAACTCCTCCTTAAAGAACGGTGCATGAAGACTTTTCACGGAATGGATTTACCTTCTGGCTGGTGAATCCAGTCAAAAGGTAATCCTCCTGCTCGTGCTCCGTGATGTACTTCATCATTTTGGCGCACGACTCCGAAATGGTCTGCCGTTCCATCGACGCCTCGCGACGCAGCTGGTCAACGACAATGCGCTGTTGTTGTAGAGATGATGACATTACGTCCATGATGGCTGTCTCGGATAGGCCTATGGTTGAAAAGTTTCTCAGTGATACTGTGATATGCAATTACAGGGGTGGGTGGGGATGGTTGGGTTGGTTGTGGTTGTGTGGTCTGGACAAAGTTAGCGAGCTCAAAAGCTCTGATCTGATTATTTCTGTAGGGATGTCGGTTTGGTTTGGTGTTTTGGATGATTCTTAATTGTTCGCTGGAAATAATAATAAAAGAAGTGCATTGCAGCATGGTAATCGTTTAAGCATTTGTTTCAATTGTGTTTTCCACACCAGTACAACATTAAACAAGCGACAGCGACACAAAGCTAGACACACAATATTCTGTTCGCAGGTGGACACAGCTTGAAAGAAAGTTAAGTAGGAGTAGGTAGAGGTAGAGATTCGGTTTAGACATTCCAAAGAGATAGATTTGTGAGTCACAATTAGGAAATTTCTTTAGGGGGTTGACACAGCGCGACATACGAAAACGTGAGTAGGCATGGCATAGTTAATCGATCGATGATTAACTTTTCAGCGCAAGCAACCAAAACCTTGACTTATGCACAGAACAAGAGCAAGGTTTTGTTAAAATTATAGGAAGGCGGTAGGAAGAGGCGGTAGGCGTGTAGGCGGGCACTATTTACGGGATAACATATAAATCACAGAACAGATTTCGCATACATATAGTATATATATTTTTTTTGCAGCTATAAAGGAACATTCATATGCACACATTCAAATGTATGCCACATGATTGCTGGATTTTGCCGAACACGGTGACAGCGTTAGAAGTAGTAAAGAATTTAGGTAAATGCACACACAACACACAACTATAATCGTAACTTTTTATTTACCAGCTTTGTTGTTAAATATATTTTTATTTCCGAACGACAGCAGCAAATTTTGATGAACAGATACACACCCAAAACTAGGGATGTAATCAATACATCGATATATATATCTTTGTATATACTTGTCGCTACAATGCGTCGCGCAAAAAAAACTACCACTAAACTAGGGACTTGTCCGTGGCGATAGACCATCGATAGCGTATATCGATATGAAAGTAGAAGAAATTAAATGAAAATGAGCTGAATTTTCAGAAAATAACACTTTACCAAGCCAGTGCCTAGCTATAAAAGAGCTGATTTGGCAACAAAAAAATATATACATCGATACTCCCATCCCTAGTCGTCGGTGTTTTGTTTATATGCTGTCTGCCGAACGGCGTTGCTTATTTATTTTCTCGGCCGCGGACATTGAAACAACACAGAAATATTTATCATAAATATCACAAAAAAGAAATGATGGCCAAGGATAAGGGGATGGCTGGAACTGGGACGGCTATACCGGCAACAGGCGACCGCGAGTGGTCTGCGGAAGAGGAGTTGCAGCTTTTCCACGCCATGGAAGGACTACGTCCGGTTGGCATTAATAAACATTTCTATATGTCGTGCATTGCCCAGCGGCTCTCAAAATCTCTAAATCGCGAGATGCCGAGTGAACTGATTTGGAAGCACTTGGGTACCATGTATAAGCTGAAAGAGCTGGATGATCTTGAGACACTTCCTTTTCCAAACGAGGAGCGGGAGTTTTGCCTGCCAGAACAAGAGTACGGAACGCTACTAACCAAAAAAAAAGTGGAGGTTAACTCCAGCGAAGAAACCACAGACGGTTCAGCTTCTGTTGTTGCTCCAGCTCCAGATAGCAACGGCAAAGGTAAAGTATTAACTTGCATGCGCAATAATTTACTGATGTAATATAATTGGATTACAGCTCCGCCAGCTACAACCAAAGCACAGGTGCACAGCACTTCTAAGGACGCCGAGAAGAAGTCATCGGCCAAGCCGATTGATCTACCCAAACGTCCAGCTAAGCGTACCCGCGGATCGATGTCAAATGAATCTATTAGCCCCTCAACAACACCACCGCCAGTGCAGAGCAACAAGCGTCGTCGCATTTAAGCTGCATTGCGCGGACTCGAAAATAAAAATACAATAAATACCTATAGTTCATGTGTAGCTTAAGTTACAAAATAATGTTCTTATAAAGTATGTATAATACTACACGTACTGTACTACATCTTAAGTAGATTGCATCTGCATCGCGTCTCATGAAAAGTGCAGGGAACTGGTCATTACCAAGAGACGCGAACCCCGACATGGACGGCGCGTCAAAAGATTGGCAAAAGACTCAAATTTCCATTCCGTCATGCAGCAGCAGCGAAGTTGTCCTCACTTTGGATAAGGAGTTCCGTTGTTTTTGGGATTGGGATTCCAATGTATATAATTAATGTATGTAAGTCTAAAATCTGATACTCAGGCAGGGTTCGGTTTTCACTTGCGCAGAGCTCCGATTTATTCTTAAAAATCAGCTACTAAGCGAAGTATTTTCCGCCGCTCAGGCGGATCTTATCCTCAGCACAGCAGACGCCGACACCAATAACCAATAATCCCAAAGAAACCCGGGCGCCAGTGATTGAAAATGAAAAACAAATTTATTTAAAGATCGTAACACATGTGTAGAAAAAAAATATTTAAGTCGTTCGCGCTGATGTCTTTGGAATAGAATCCTGTATTTTCTGGAACGTCGGGACAAGGGCACCTAACGTATTTATCAATGATTCGTCCTGGAAATCTTTGGATTCTATTCTGCGAATCAAATTCAGCATATCTTCAATAAGCACCATATCTTCCATAAGAACCTTATCCTTCTGTTTTGAAATATGGGCCAAGGTTAACTCATGCGCGGCCAGGTCTGACTTGCGATAGAATATACGGCTGCACAAATTACAGATATGCTCCTGGCAGCTATGTCTGCGCTTGTACTTCCTACGGCATTTTGTACATTGTTTTTCGCCAGACCAGCACAACAAATAGTTATCCATGGCATCTTTAGTCTCTACACTATTACCTCCATCGTTTTTGCTATCCATGCTTTCCTTCAGCGGCGTTTTCACGGCTCTACTCACATTACTGTTCGTATCATCTATATTCTCCACATCCACACATTGGTTCTCCTCGTTTTCCGTTTCCGAGTCGGTCTCTTCCTTCAGACCACGCCGACATTTATGTTTCAAATACTGCTCCTTCAAAAGGAACCTTCGTTTGCATTGTTGGCATTTGTATTTCTTCACCAAGTGATGATCCTGGTAGTGGCGACGCACCATGTGGAACTTTGTCATGATGACGTTATTGGGCATATGTTCATGGCGCCAACACTGCTTGACCGGGCAGTGAAAACAATCCTTTTCTTCAAATTCTATTTTGTGAATTTTCTTCATATGCCGATTATACTGGTGCAGCCCCTTAAATACTTGTCGCTGAGGGCACATGTTGCAGTGGTACTTGCGGTTGGGCAGCAAGTCGTCGAGATCTGGAATCGAGCATTTTTCACTGTATTTCTTGGTATCCAATGAGCCCATGCTTGTTTAAAAATATAAATGGTCAATGATCAAAATAAAGCCATCAAGCTAAGCGGCATTTAACAGTGCTGACAAACTTTGCCACAAAACTAGTGCTGTAAAACCGAAAAAATATGCAGGCGTCCATTTTGTAGATTCTGGTTTTAAGACTAGTACTCAGATCAGATCAGTCAAATTTTTCGTTGACGTAACCAGAGATGATGTTCGTATGGAATAAGTGAATAAAAATGCTTGTAGGTTTTTTGCACCCATCAAAAAATATAACAAAATAAGAGCCGATTAATACAGGAAAGGCAACCGACTAAAACAGGATGTTTGTATTCATGTATTTTTGTGGTTTCGTATAACGTAGTGTAGTATAGGTAGAAAAGGAGGGCACAACAATAGCACATCCAATACTAATGGTATACCCGAAAGTGTTCGAGAGTCTCATGGGAGGCGGCCTAAAAAACTGGGAATCTCCCGCTGGCATGGCGAAGGATGAGTCATATCGGAATCCAATAACATGGTATTCTTCAGCAATGTGCGGGGATCGTCCTTTAGCTTGTGATTCACGATCTGTCTGAGATCTCTGAACCTGCAGGAGAACATTTATTTACATCTTACGTATTCTTTGAAATCTTCCACAGCTTACCACCGAAAATGATAGCCCATTTGTGGGCTATCCCACCCGCCGAGAAGCGTTCTTCAGAACGGAAACTAATTTGTTGCTTTTGTAATCCACCCGCTGCAGCGGGGGATTAAGGATTGGTGTCCGAATAAGATACATCAAAAACCGTGAGTCCTGACTAGGAAAGGGAATCAGGGAGCCGTTGAGCTCACATTAAAAAATTTGTCATCCTTGAGGGGACACATCGACACCTCTATGGGGGATAAAATGTGTTTCAATGGTGACCCAATATGCAGGCCGAGTAGGTTTGAAAACAGTAAATTATAGTCCCCAAATTTAAATACTCTTTAGCGGTCGTCTTTTTCCCATTCAACTGAAAAATCTGTCTGCTGGCCAAAAGGACGTTCGGGCCTCTTAAAAGATTCTGTTGCTCCACAAATTTATTGCCCCGCTCAATTTGCTTTAATGTACTTTAATGTCCACATTGACAAACGGACAATCCCCAAAAAACGAAAGATTGATATAGTTCAATCACAGCTTCATCAGAGCTTCATTCAGACCTCTTTAAGAAGGAGAATCCTGCGCTTTTGCGGTATTATGGCAGAGGAAGGACAAAATCTCGTACCTCTTTTACCTCAAAATAATATACAAAATTGCATTAAATTTATCATTAACAATAAAAAAGTAAACCACAAAAAAAATTCATTCATCAATGTTTGGAGAGCCAAAAAAGTAGATTTTTTGGCTAATTAGGAGTTCCAAAAGTCCAAATGTTACACTTCAAATGTGTTTGACGGTCAAGTTCGAGATATTGTAGTAAATATATTTTATTTTCGTCTAATTTGTATGGTATATTTCCTTACTGGGTAAAGAAGAACTTGGACTAAGACGAGTAGTTGTAAGAATAACTTGTTTGTTGTTAAAGATATTTCCACGGAACGTTCCAAAATAGGGTTTTTCTCTTTTGGACATATATTCTTGCAAAGAGGTTTACGATTTGGCGCATATGGTTTTTGCGTTTTGCTTGTTGTTCAGAAGAATACGAAATTGTAGCATACTTTTGCGGGCAGGAAACAGTTTAAATCTTTGGCGCGCAGCATTGCCAACATTGAATAGTGCACGTAAGTGAGAACGTAACAGAATTTGCTTTGAGCATAACACAATGTGGATGTGGTTTGATTTTGGAATGGCGGAATTTATCTGTCGTACAGAGAAATGCCAGCACTCGGAAAAGTGCGCGAGCGCCGACAGGAAAATTCATTGATTGTAATCGGCCGCTCTCTCCGGCTGTCGTTTGGTCGCTTACTATGCCTAGGCTAGAGGCTGGGCTGGGGAGAGGTCGGAAAACTCACCACTAGTAGCGACTATAACAGCGACTAGCACGGACGAGCGGCGCTCAGTTCTTTGAGGGTAGTTAGTTGGACAACGGCGTTGCCGAAAACGGGCCACCTCAGCTGCCGCACAACCAATTTTTGGGTTAGGAATATACACACCAGCACACATTCGAATTCCCTCACACGTACACATACACACACAAGCAGTATATGTATATGTATCTGACTGAGAAATGTATAAGGCCAAGAAAAATTCAGCTTAATTGCATTCGAAACGAGAAAAGTGAAATAGAAGGCAGAAAAAGTGCCATCAACACTTACGATTGTCTTTGAAATAGATCAAATCCAAATTAGTCTCTCTCTGTGTGTGTGTGTGTGTGTGTGTGTATGGTGTATGTGTGTGTGCACTCGTATATATACATCTTAATGTTAATGTGAATGTGAACGTAAACGTGAGTGTGTTTTTGTATGCGTGTGTAGCAGAAATTGCGCTAGAGGCTGCTCCCTGGATACAGAAAAGTGATTTCCTGTAAAATGTGGAAAAAGAAACGCGACTAAAACGGGAGAGAAAACCAAGTGCCGCACATGAGAAAAACTCAACGATATCCGAAAGAAATCCAATAAATACCGCTAGTTGAGGGATTCACTCCCCGAATACTCACCCGATACGCATACATATGTACATATATGTAATAGTATGTATGTACTATTCATCAATCAAAGAGCGGACAAGTGAAGTGCGGTTCTTGCTGTTGTTGCCCCACTAAACGGTGTATCGATTGAGGGAAAAGGAAAATTATTATAAATTGCTTCAACCTACATATGTATAAGCCATGCGAGATATACCCCACAACGGAACGCTGCCCCAGCCACCCACCGATACACGAACGAGAGCTCCCACACACGAATACACATACACATACACATACACATACAAATACGCATACGCTTACAGGGAGACATTAAGTTGGAAAGCTATAAGCTGTACGGTAAAGCAGGATAGGATGGTAAAGCAGAAGGTGGTGCCAGCATAATGTTGTAGACCCCTACCGCGCCGTGCCCTGCGCCACAGACTTCCCTCGTAATTCGTTCATCGTTACGTCGAACGTTACGCTGTTCGGGAACGTATCTCGTGCGTAGCTTTCCCACTGGCCTGGCTCTTTCTCTTTCTCTCTCTGTCTCTCTCTTCACTCTCTTTACCACTCCAATCTGCGGCGGAGAACTCTTCAACTCCCTCACTGGTCTCTCTATGTCTTTCTGCAGTGTCTGTCTGTGTGTGTGTGTCTGCTTCGTGCGTTGAATGTGTGTCAGTGGCTTTGTCGGGGGTCAGTGGAGTGAGTGTGAAGTGTCGAGTGTGGAGTATGGAGTGTGGAGCGTGGAGCGTGGAGCGTGGAGCATGCCCCAAACTCCCATCGTTATAAAATCGTCGTTGGGCACGAGCCACTAAAAGCACTCAAAGCGCACAACAATGAAACAACAAGAACAAGTACAAAAAAAGCGGGCATATTTTAATTAGTTTATTAAGTTTGAGAGAAGAGAGTTCTTAACTGATGCGGCACGGTCTCGATTTAATTATCTCCCTCCACGCGCACGCAGCCATGTACATAAAACAAAACCAAACCGGTTAAAATCAAACACAAAATGCAATTAGCCAACTACAGAGGGCCACTAACAAGCACCGCAGAAGTCAACAAACTAACTAAAAAGTGCCATCAACTAAATTAGTGCAAGCAGCAAGCAGCCAACAGCAGGCAGCAGGCAGCCGAAGGAGACAGGTAGGAGAGGGCCAGACGGAAACGGAAATGCCCATTGAGCCGACAACGCCACCGCCTGACGACTGCAACAACAGCAATATAAGTAACGATACAACACTGCCCCCCACACTCACACATGTAGCTTCTCTGTGAGTCAGTGCATTCGGTGTGTGTGTGTGTGTGTGTGTGCGTGCGCGCGTGTGAGTGAGCCAACAAATTGTTGCGGCTAATAGAACAGGAAGCGAAGGAGGAGGAGCAGCAGCAGCAGCAGGAGGAGAAGCAATTTTCATACGCCCCCAGTTCGTCAGCGAAAATCATTCAAAATTCATCGTCTAAACAAACCGGGTGAGCACTCTCAACCACTCAACCACACAACGACTCGGACACTGGGCCACTGGCCCATCTATCCATAATCACCCCCACACAAAGACACACACTCCAGAAGATGGGAGAGCTGTAAGCGATATTGATATATGTATATTGATTTCTGATTTGTTTAGCCAGTGTATGCCTTGTGTAGCCAGTGAGTACTGTACTGTGACTAGCCAGTAAACAGTTCTCTGTTTTGTGTGTGTTGTATGCATTAACATTAACATTAATATTATCCTTCTCTTTTCATTCAACTTCCTACTCGTGTCTTTTCCAATTTCCTTTCTATGTAATTGTTATACGAGTCCAGTGGCTAACATTCCTAACATATACTCCTCATTTAATTTACTTGCCAGTCCTGAAACTCTTAACCCTAGTTAGATCTATAGTCTAGTTGTAGTTCGATTTTGCATAGTATTGTTTGTAAGTTTCCATCATACGCTCCGCCAGCCGACAGTCGCCTGCCGCCAGTCGAGGCTGTGTCAATCAGTTTGGCAAGCAATTTGAAAACTTATAATGGGATGTGTGGATGTATGGAATGGATGTATGGATGGCAGGCTCAATGAATAACGCACCGGGGGAGGTCGTTTCGATTTGGATTGCTCGCATGATTTGTCAGTCTCAGTCAGGGTCTTGCCCCTAAATCCAACTCCAAGTCCGTTTGCGTGTCAATGTATTCTTACTATAATATAGTGTACTCGTGCATTGTATTTCCCGTACTATTTGTTGTGC